CCTAACACTTGCCAGGGAAGCATTTATTCCACGGAGCCATCTCCCTAGCCTGTCTAATAAGTTTTGAAATTAGAAAATGAATCCTTTGTATTTGTTTTTTAGAATTATTTTGGTTATTTGGGACTCCATTCATTTCCAAATGAATTTTAGAATCAGCTTTTCTACTACTGCCAAAGAGGCCATTGCATTTTGATAGGGGTTGCACTGAATTTGTAGACAGATCTGAGAAGTGTTGTCACCTTAACAGTATTAATTATTCCAATCTATGAATATGGATGTCTTTCCACTTATTTAGACCTTCTTTAATTTCTTTATTTTTATTTTTTTGGCAGAACAAGGGATTGAACTCAGGACCTTGCGCTTAACAGGGAAGTGCTTATTCTATGAGCCATCTCCCCGGCTCTTTCTTCAATTTCTTCTAACAATATTTTTTAGTTTTCATCACACAAGTCTTTCATAATCTTGGTTAAATTAAAAAAAACCTTTTTTTCTAAATATTTATTCCTTTTGCTGCTATTTTCTTTTTAAAAAATGTATTTAGTACAGGGCGTACAGGGTCTCACTACATAGATTGGACTTTTAGTGATCTTCCTGTGTCCAGCCTTCCAAGTCCTGGGATTACAGTTGTGTACCACCATGCCCAATCTGAATTGCTATCTCAGTGTATCCTGGGGGCGGGGCTGGCACGGCACACTTGGCATCAACTACCATCCCTGAGTCTGCCTAAGCAGGTGCTTTAATCTGCTGAGCTATCTAGCTGACCTCTTTTGCAACTATTGAATATGGAATTGTGTTTTGTTTCCTCTAGAATTGTTCATTACTAGTATATAAAAATGTCACTGACTTTTTGTTGTTGATTTTGTATCCTGTAAGCTGCTGAAGTTTTCATTTGGCCTGGTAGATTTTTGTGTGCATTCTTTGTATGCTATCCTCTATATAAGATCATATCATCTACAAAGTTGTTCTGCTGCTTCATCTCTGATTTGGGTGCTTTTAAAATATTTTTGTTACCTAATTGCTATGGCTGTAACTTCCACTATTTTATTAGCTAGAAATAGTGAAAAGTGGCCATCTTTCTTTTGTGCCAGATCTTAGGTAAGAGCTCAGTTTTTTCCCCTTGTTTTGATATTTATTGTGGGTTTAAAAATATTCCCTTTCTTACAAAGTTCCATTCTAGTTTTCTGAGTGTATGAGAGCCTGGTGGAACTGGACAAAAGATTATTTTCTGCATCAGCTAAGATGACTATTTTTCCCTCAAAGACCTACATTCTTAATCACAAGGCCCATGTACTTTTCTAATTATTTATAGCCTATTTTTTGTACTTACACTGTGAAATTTTTTGGGGGTCAATAATATTAAAAATATGACCTTCAGTGGCTGTTATTTTCTCATAGGAATTTTGTATAATTTATTCATACCTCTACGTTGTTTCAAAAATATCAATATTTTAACTAAGTCTCTATTTCTTTAGGAGCAAAGTTCTGATGACTAGACTTTTGAACCTGTTCCATTTGAACACATTCCCTCACATATATTTTATCATTATTTGGTAAATTTGATTAAAAACTGCGTTAAATTCCTGGTACCTCAAAAAATTCTAGAAGTAAGTAAACTGAAAAGAAGCCCAAGGTTAAACAAAATCCTCATCAGGAGACTTGTCCAAGTCGTTATTGGTCTAGTACACTGGTTTAGTTTCCGCTTTCTCCCACGAGCTCCGGAAAGTGAACTACAATTCCCAGAGCGCTTAGCGCGAACTCGTGCGCCGCGGCGTCCCCGTTTTCCTTTTGTCCCGCCTTCCCACTTCAGTGATTGGACAATATACTTCCTGTATATGAATTCTCTTCTCTGATTGGTGCTGACTCGGGCGGGGTCGAAGGCGGAGTTTACGTTCGCCTAGGTTCTGTCAAGCCCACCGGCTCGCTCCTCCGTGCCAAGATGGCGGCAGAAGCAGCTGGTGGGAAATACAGAAGCACAGTCAACAAAAGCAAAGACCCCTCGGGGCTGCTCATCTCTGTGATCAGGTGAGGGAGGCAGGAGTCAGGGTCGGGGACAGGGGGCAGCGGCTCGACCTCCGCTTTGGAAGGGAGAGGGCTTAGCCGGGTTCCATCCTGGTGACCCTTCCCTTTTCTCCGTGCCTCCCCGCATCCCCTCCCCAGAGCTTTTCAGCAGTTCTCCTCCTTTCACCCTCAGCTGTTAACTCCTCTGCCTTTCCCCTCTGGATCTGGGTTTAGAGGGAGGAGCCCCGCTCCACACCCTTCTTGAGGGTCCTTGGGCCCTGGAAACACTCCTGTTGGGTGTTGGTAGAGGAGCCAGGTAGAAAGTGTGTTCGTTCATTCATAAAGCACTTAGGGATTAATCACCTGTCGTAGCGCTCACTGAGAAGGGCGTCTTGTTGTCTTGAACTTCTGGAGGTAGGGCTCCGGAGTCCCGAGTCACCTGTCAGTAGTTGCTTTTTGTCCAACTCCGGGCACTTTGCACCACCTGTGAACCGCTGCAGCCTCATACACCAGACTGCAGTGAGCTGGTAGAAGGGATGCGTTTGAAGGCACATATCTGTCTTTCGATTTTAGTTCTGTGCTTTCCTGCCTTCCTATCCGGGTCTTTTTTCTTAAAAAGGAAACAAAATTTAAATTACCCTCTATGTACTTTTTGCTACTGAAAATACCGGCATGAGAGTTGGAGTGGTGGACCTTTTATGTTTTTTTTTCTTTTTTCTTTTTCTTTTTAAAGTGAAACAAACCGAGCACCTGTAAGGATTATACAGGGAATGATCATAAACAACCTGAATATAAAGTATTATAAAACGTTTTTACTTTGTTGGTATTTAAATTTCAGCTCGGATATTTTTCATGAAACAAACACGGTTTCCTTTGCCGCCTTTCCCTACCTAATAATGCTAGTTTAGTTTGAGTTCTTGGAGGGCTCCTTGACTGTTCGGATAATTACTCTCGCTTTCCTCAACCCCTATTTAACTCAGGGCAGGGCTTTTGCACTGAGCTACAACCCTAGCCCTTTTCATTTTTTTACATTTTGAGTTGGGTTCCCGTTTACGCCCAGCACTTGCCATCTTCCTGCTTAAGCATCTCAGAGTGCTGGGATTACTGGCCTGCACCACCATGCTAGGCTCTAATGATCTTTTTAAAACCCATAACCTAACAGTATTTGGCAGGTGCCAAGCGTTTGAATGAGTGAATGTACCAAACTTTTCACAGTTTACCTTTTGTGGACTGACACTAATTGAACCTTAAAGTTAGAGTTCAATAAGATTATAGGTGGTTAAGTAATTGAGTTTTCTTTTACAATTAAGAGAATAATTCTTTTCTATGGAAATAATATACTTCATAGATCATCTATAGGAGCACAGTCTACCTTTGCCAGTATGCAGGTAGTAAAGATGTGTCTCTTGACACTAAAATTCCAGTCAGAATATTTGTAGTTTTTCAAGCTCATGTTTTGTGGAGTTATAATAGGTTATTTTATTTGGATTCTTCTTTGAACTTATTTTTGTGCCTAAACATTCATTTAAACAATGAATATTTAGTGCTAGTTTACGGTGTGGTGCCTGATATTTATGCATTCATGAAATATCTGTAGAGTGAATGAGTGGATTTCTGAGTTTTTAAAAAACAAATCAGATCTATTATCCTTGAGAGTATAGTCTTCCTGGGGGATAAAATATACATAAAAAGTATGATAGAGCACTATAAGAGAGAGAAAATGCTAGGGAAATTCAGAAGAAGGAGTTGTTATTTTAATGAAAGTGGAATGAGAGGAAAAGTAACAACCATTTACAAAAACACCCTTCTCATCTCATTGGTTCTTTAGGCTGTCCACATTTCTTTCATATGAGTTTAATACCAGTTAAAATTATCCTAAATTTCCAATATGTGAGAACTGCATGAAATCCAATGCAAAGCTTTGTTTTGCTGATACTGATTCAGAGATGTACATTACCTTTGGTAGAACATCCTCTTGTGTTCTCCACTGAGAATCTCTTATTGCTGGGTGGTCTGTGGTATGATTTTGTGGTTATCCATTTCTTATGCTGATCTATATTCACTTTATTACTTGGGCAGTTACTTAGTGAGCTTGGGCATTTTTTTTTTTTTTTTTTACTTTGATTTCTGGTGTATATTACTGCTTTTCATTTTTTCTCTATCCTTGACCCCACAGTGTATTTTATTTTAACATTTCTACTTTGTCATATTTATTACAAACTTGGTAACAGAGAATGGACATCCAGACCTAGTAGTCAGGGCATGTTTAGGTCTTGTTGGTAATTGTGTATGTACACAAGATTGAATGTTGTTGGTGTTGCAGTGTTGGTATATGAATATAGACATTTTTTTGAGTCACAGGAAATTTAAGGGTTGGAGTGAGGAAAATACTAGCATTCTTTCCTTGTTTTCTTTGTGATATGGTTTTGAATTTCCCCAATGGTTTGAATTTCATAAGCAGTGGCAGAAAATGAGAGAGTGGTAGTGTTTCTTTGGTGTTTGGGAGTTGAGGTTAGGAGAGGATCATCAAAGGACCAATAGAATGAGGATTGTCTATTTCTTATTGGGCAATTGTGTTGTCACTCTGAAGTTGCTATTCTGTATTCAATCATTTGTATTAGCCTTGCAACATTGTACTGATTTTTTCTTAACTCAGATGAGGCTTTAACTGTCTCCTATCCAGCACAAGGTCCTGAGTTTGATCTCTAGTACCAAAAGAAACCAACAAAACAAAACAGAAAACCACAAATAATTATCTCCTATCCATAACCTTTTTTTAAATTCTCAAAGACTGTAGCTTTGCTGGTTGCTTTGGCAACAAGCCTCAAAAAGGAAAACCCATTTTAGGTTTATTTTTATAAAGTCTGAGCTTTGTTAAGATATACTGAGTACATGTCCCCTCTTCCATGTTTTCCTATTATTTTTCACAAAATAGGTTGTTAGTGATAGAAACACTGTCCTGTAAAAAATTTGATGGGTTTAGCTTTATGTTTTTATATTACTGAACAGTTTCCTGTTTTTTAAAAAATTTTTATTTTAAAGAAAAAGAACCAAAAAACAAAACAAAAAACAACCCCCCATCCCAAAACGGTGATAGGAGGGTAACAATGGTCAGTGCATTGTGTTTTGTTATCCTTAAATCAGTCATAGTACAAGATATCAGCATTTAATTGACCAAACAGTATTAGCACAATCAACTGAGAGAAATTAGTAGCTTAACTATCTTTTGTATATACATATGTATATTTTCTTTTTGCTTTTCCCTTCTCTTTTTTCCATTCCCATAAATACGTGACCCCAAATGTGTAACAGATATTGTAAAATGGGAAGAAACTTCAAAAGGAAACAGTTTTCTGTTTTGAATGTTAAAAATTCAATTCTCTATTAGATACATAAAAAGGTAATTGTATTATGTATTGTAAACTTTTATATTTTAAATTTGCTATTCTTAATCATTGGAATAGCATTTACTATTATAGCCATCTTTTAACATTGGATTAAACAACAAAAATGAAAACTACAGGGGAAAAAGTTTTAATATAAGGACGAAATAGGTATACACAAAGGAGATACCAAGTTTCATTACTATTTCCTGCTGTGGTACTAATTTATTTTTTATTATTATTTCTTTATTTTTATGTATTTGATACAGGGTCTTTCTACACAGCCCGGACTCATAGTGATTCTCCTGTTTTCAGCCTCCCCAGTGCTGGGATTACAGGCATATTTCACCGTGGCCAGTCTTGGTGGCCAGCTCAGTGCGCCCGGGGGTGGGGCCAGCACTGCATGTGGTGCTGGGGATCAAACCTGGGTCCCTGAGCTTGCCTAAGCAGGTGCCGAGCTATCTTGCTGGCTGCCATGGTGCTACTTTATTAAGTAATGATTATATTTTGCTAGTATGATAGTCTGTCATTTAAAGACATTTAGAAGCCAAAATAATTTAAAGATGCAGTACGTATAGTTTAATTGTAATAAAAGCATTATATTTATTAAATGGATTCTTAAAGTACCTTGAGACCCAATACAATTTATAATCATTTAAAAATATTGAGTAAAAATATTTTTGTCAGACATTTCAAAGGGTAGAATCCCTGGATTTTATAGGGGAGGTCCTCAGATCTGTGAGGGGGGCTTTAATGAGGAGACAGATGGTGCTTGGGATTTAGTCTGTTGGAGAATGCTGCTAACTGTGCAGCTTTTGGGTTTAAATTTTACTACTGGCCCTTTAAGATAGAAGTAATTGGGTGGACAGAGTCCTGATTACCTGCTGGTGTGCAATTTATACAGTTTTATATACATGTGTGCACTCACATGTACATGCACACATGCAGTCCATGCCACCAGCCTTTCCTTTTTCTGTTGATCTCCCCTCCCAACCTTTTGTTTGGTATTAAATTGGGAGAAGCAACCTCTCTAAGTGGGAAATAGTTTTGGAGATGTTATTTTACTTTTGTGCTTTTTGTCAGGTTTTTAATTGGAAAATGTGTCTACCACTCACTGTTAGGTGATTTGTTTTCCAATTAAGTGTTGTCCTTTTCATCTTTGTAAGTGAGCCTGAAATAGACGGTTTAATTGGGTAGGCAAACTTTGGTTGTGACTTAAGACCATATTGAAATATTGGAGCAGATCTTTTGTGGACAGACTCTGGTTGTAGATGTCAAAGAGGTTTGAAGGGTATTGGAGGGTTGTATTTTCATCAACTTTTATCACCTTCTAGAGACTGAAATTTCAAAAACTTAGAAAATCCTTTATTGTGGACACCTGTTAAATTTCTTCCTCCAAGAGTATTTTGGTCAACCTGTAGTTAACTCAGAGTAGACTGGGATGGAGGGACCTAGGCTTTGATCAGGCTTTGAGCAAATAGCTTTGAGTTTCATGACTGTTTGTGACAGGAAAGGAATGTGGTCACTATTCTGAATGGAGTCCTGGAAATTGGTTCAGTATTAATATTTCCAGTACCAGTTCTTCAGTTCTCCACCTTATGAAAGTTTTTAGGTTTCAGTTCTTTTTTGTATCCTTACAAA